TGGGGGTAACTAATATTGGAAGAAGAAAACTGTAAAAAAAAAAAAAAAAAAATCTGTACAAAAATACAATGATGTTTGAATGGTAATTTGATTACTTTTAAGTAATATATTTATCTACTTAATAGGTAATGGCTGAAGTGACCTAGCTCTGAATGATACTTGATGCGTGGTGGATGCAACCTTCTTGAGCTCAGTTTCTGTCAAACATCAGTATTCTGAATTTTATTCAAAGTGTGTCTGGAAAATATGAGTTCAGCGGGCTAGCATGTACACTCTTGAGAGTCAAGAGTTCATTTAACAAAAAGCTCAGTCTTTTCCTTCTAATGTATTGCTGTTTGTGATTACCAGATCATATCTGCAAACACTACATTGTTCAGTTTTGGAAACAGCCAAAATATTTTTAATTCAGGAAGAAAATGCTGAGTAGAATTACATTTCTACTACAATATGGTTAAAATAAATGATTTCATTTCTGCAATGACACTAGAATGCTAAAGGACACTAGGATGCGAAATGCAATAATATGAAATTCAGTAAAATCTTTAGTGTTTAGCTCATCTTTGAAGGACATTTTCTTTTGGACCTCTGTGTCCTGAAATTCCTGCTTCTTTCTCTGAATTGTCAGTAGCTCTGAATACAGTTGAGAAAGAGGACAAGCTGGCTGCCCACATAATCACTAGTGTCAGATATAGTACAGACCAAACCTCACCAACACACCCAATGACCTGCTGCACACACAGCAACATAAACAGGAAAGAGACCTAAAACTAGAATAGTACATATAGAACCCGATAAAACCACGTTTAAATCCAGCATCATTTCCTGATCCTCTTTTCGCCATCGTTTCATTTCTTTTTTGTTTCAAAGCGACAATCAGGAAAGAATTAAACAATGTTAAATGTGATAAAACTCCTGTGTTGTTATTAAAATCTTAAAATGCAGGTGAAGCTGCCTGCAACTTGCTATGCATGATGCATTCATGCACATTTATTTCTACAGAGATCTCTTCATCATCTGTCCAGCTGTGGACATGGCTGAATTCTGGGCAGCCAACATACGGTCCAGTGTTCACATGTACCACCTACCTGAGGAAGCTACCTACAACAGGTGCCTCTCATTCCATATACTTCATATCATACTTACTTGATTTCACAGAACTCATGGTACCACTCATAATAAAATCTATCACATTTAAGAAGAATCTCTGTATGCTAAATATATTTTTGTCGCAGTGTTGATCTGTCAGTGCCGATGGATGTGCAGTCCCTCTTTGGAGTTCATCTTGCCTCAGAAATGCATGACCTCTTCAACTCAAAAGAGAGAACGCTTACCTTGCAGATCATGAACTATATGGCAAACTTCATAAAGTCTGGGTATTTATCATCAAACTTTTCTTTTTATTTTTTTTTTTCAAATATTCAAAAACAAAATTTTATGTTATGTAATGTTTTTTTTCCCTTATGTAGAAGTGAAACAAATTGTCATAAAATAAAAATTTAGGGCAGGACTTGATTCTGATTGGATGGAGGCAGATCAGTGTCGGTCTGGTCAACAGTAAGAAAGAAGCAGAGTTTGAAGGTAGAGGTCACTCAAAAATGAAAATTCTGGCATCATTTACTCACATCGCAACACAAATTAAGATATTTATAATGAAACCTGAGAGGTTTTTTAATTTGTGTTTCAAAGGGTTTCAGATGACATAAGTATGAGTAAATGATGACAGAATTTTCTTTTTTGGTGAACTATCCCTTTAAAACAAACCAAATGTTTGGAGAAGTCTAGCATTTGTCATCAGAGAGAAGTCTGCTGTTTCATCAGGAGATTGAGTTATAACATTTTAATTGAAAATTACAAGGTCGAAAAATGAAACCTGCATTTTCATTTCAAACCGACTTTAGTGATATTACACAGCCCTGTTCATCTCTCCTCTGCTCTCCATAGCAACCCCAACCTGCCTCTTGCAGCATCTAGGACGTCCTTCAGTAAGTTCTTACCCCCGTGGCCTCAGTTCATGCCTCACCCAGGTGGACGGGGCTATAAGGAGCTGTCCTTTACACTCAGTAACCGCAAGAACCTCCAGAGTCCTCAGTGTTCCTTCTGGTCTCAATATGTGCCGACTTTGATCACCTCTACCGGTTAGTACCGCATTTAGAGATTGGAAGATAACAGTGGGTTTTTGATCAGTCATAAATGCTTATACATTTTTTAAGATTCTGTGCACTTGGTAATACTTGTAAACCTGACTTTGACTTTTGACTTCACAGCCAAATTCTCCTGTGAGACTTCAGTGGAAGATTCTGGAGGTATTCAAAATCCAACCCAAGAGCCAAAGTCAATCCCAGACGTCAGCTTCTCTCTGACTCCAAGCAAACCTAAATCGGAGAAAGATGCTTACAATTAGTCTCAAAATTTTTACAGATTTTCTTGTAACTGCTTGTTCCAGAACCAATCTTGGCACTCTATCGTTGTGGTGTTTCTTTTGATGTAAATCATTGTGATTATGAATCATAGTAGAACTTAAACAATAAACTGCATTGAAAACACTTTTGGGTTATTCTTCACTTTTGACATTTTAAAAAATGATTAAGGTATTGTTAGAGTATTTCAATATCTTCATTAAATAATTAATCAGGTGATTTTACATTAAAATGAAGACATCATATAGTCACATGGAACAGGGACTGACCAAAGTGCCAGGAGGACATA